TATTCTCCTCAGCACCCTGTTCTCAATCACCCTCAGTCTATGTTCCTCCATTAATGTCAGAGACCAAGTTTCACACCCATACAATACGACGGAACAAATTATAGTTTTTTATATTCTGATTTTTACGTTTTTAGACAACAGACGAGACGACAAAAGGTTCTGGACCAAATGGTAGCCAAGTATTACCCGAATTCAATCTCCTTTTAATTTCCTACTGAATCGAATTTTGATTTGTTACTGTTATTCACAAATATTTTGACTGTGCCCCATTTTCGAACCATCTGCTAGCTATCTTTATATTACGATTTTTGCTGCATTCCTGTAATAAGACAGCAAAGAATACTTAGTTTTCTCTGCATTTACTTATGGACCAACATCCTTACTGGCGTCAATTAAAGTTTCTGTGTTTTCCTTTGTGGCATCTACATTATCTACCAGTAGATTCACATTATCAGCATAGCCCAGCAGCTGATATTTACCATTTAATTTCAGTTCCACTAAGTTTTCGTGGACCTCACAAATGGCATATTCTAAATCAAAGTTGAAAAGCAGTGGCGGTAAAGCATCACCTTGTTTTATACCATTCTGCAAAGGAAAATTATCACAATAAATATAGTGAGGTTACCTTCACTATAACTCATCTCCAAGTTCACCGATCATATGACCCTCGAGAGAGCGACTATAAAAATGAAATAAAAATGCATACGGTATAATAATACGATATGAATTTATACAGTGCGTACAATCAAGTGCGCGCCGCGGCTGCAATTTGCCGTGAGTCATACCACCGCAGAACGGATGCAGTCGCGGGGAGTGTTGCAACTCCTCCCCGCGAGTGCATCCGTTCTGCGGTGGTATGACTCACGGCAAATTGCAGCCGCGGCGCGCACTTGATTGTACGCACTGTATAAATTCATATCGTATTATTATACCGTATGCATTTTTATTTCATTTTTATAGTCGCTCTCTCGAGGGTCATATGATCGGTGAACTTGGAGATGAGTTATAGTGAAGGTAACCTCACTATATTTATTGTGATAATTTTCCTTTGCAGAATGGTATAAAACAAGGTGATGCTTTACCGCCACTGCTTTTCAACTTTGATTTAGAATATGCCATTTGTGAGGTCCACGAAAACTTGGTGGAACTGAAATTAAATGGTAAATATCAGCTGCTGGGCTATGCTGATAATGTGAATCTACTGGTAGATAATGTAGATACCATAAAGGAAAATATAGAAACTTTAATTGACGCCAGTAAGGATGTTGGTCCATAAGTAAATGCAGAGAAAACTAAGTATTCTTTGCTGTCTTATTACAGGAATGCAGCAAAAATCGTAATATAAAGATAGCTAGCAGATGGTTCGAAAATGGGGCACAGTCAAAATATTTGTGAATAACAGTAACAAATCAAAATTCGATTCAGTAGGAAATTAAAAGGAGATTGAATTCGGGTAATACTTGGCTACCATTTGGTCCAGAACCTTTTGTCGTCTCGTCTGTTGTCTAAAAACGTAAAAATCAGAATATAAAAAACTATAATTTGTTCCGTCGTATTGTATGGGTGTGAAACTTGGTCTCTGACATTAATGGAGGAACATAGACTGAGGGTGATTGAGAACAGGGTGCTGAGGAGAATATTTGGACCTAAGAGGGACTGAAGTGACAGACGACTGGAGAAAACTGCGTAATGAGGAGCTTCATAACTTGTACATTTCGCCAGGTATAATTAGAATGATGAAATCAAGGAGGATGTGATTGCAGGGCAAGTAGCACGAATGTGGGAGAAGCGGAATGCATATAAGGTACTGGTGGGATAGCCAGAATGAAAAAGACAACTAAGAAGACCACGCCGCGAGTGGATGGATGATATTAAAATGGATCTTAGAGAGATAGGATGGGGTAGTATAGACTGGATTGATCTGGCTCAGGATAGAGACTAGTGGAGGGCTCTTTTGAACATGGTATCGCACTTTCAGGTTCCATAAAATGGTAGGAAATTCTTGAGTAGCTGCACAACTGGCGGCTTCTCAAGAAAGTCTCAGTAAGTTAATTAGTTACTTAGTTAGTTAGTTTAGGAGCTTTCAGAAAGTACTGATTCATTCTGTCACGTCTGTTCATCCACAAGTAACAGCTCGCAAATAAAAGATTATTTTCGATGAAAATTGCACTACGTGATCTTGAAAAATCTTATTTGTTTTCAGGACTACCCAACCTCCTGCCTGGCGAATAGCAGAAGCTGTTTCCACGGGATAAAGGGATGGGAAAGTTGAGCTGTCCATTCACCTCTGATTAGTGTGCGTATGTCTTTATTGCGTTACTCTTGACACAGAGGCAGCTCCAGCTATATTTCCCTAAACCTACAGTGTTTACGAACAAAATGTTGAGGAAAATATTGCAATCCAAAGGCGAGGCAAGTGGACAATGCGGAGTTTCGCGTCGTACACGGGTCACCTTGGGTGTGAAGGATACTGATCTAAAGAGAGTAAGTAAGATTGGGCTTGAGGTTAAAGTAAAAGAGTAGACTCTAAAGGGTTCTGACGGTGGTGTATAATACTCAGAATTACTGGGGTTTTGGGACTTTGTCAATCGTCCGGTATTATAGAAACTAGGAAACAGAACGTTTCGGAAACTTGATATCTTTCCGTCCTCAGGTAAGAGGAGGAGATATCTTCTCTGTAGGGACCCTGCGCCCAATGATTGAAGTTAGCTCTTTCTAAGAGACCCAACAGCCTGTCTCCCCCCTCACCTGAGGACGGAAACAGATCCAGTTTCCGGAACGATGTGTCTTTTAGTTTCTAGAATACCGGATGGTGAACAAATCCTGAAACCCCAGTAGTTCTGAAGATAAATCAGACAAGGAATGAATACTGAATTTTGGTAGAGAAACGTCTTGCAAGACATTCAGTGGGAACACCGAAGAATTTCGAAAATAATATTAAAATTGATCTAACACAGAAAAGCTGTAAGATCGAAAGACTTGAAGTCGCGGTCGAATGGTTTGCTTCCTATTTAGGAGGTATGGGTTCGGATCTCGGTCTTATTCTTACAAGTTCTTCGTGGTTTTCCTGGTTTCCCTAGATAATACCAGGATATTATCTCAACTTAGGCTACGACCATTACTACATGTTTTCCAACTCACTGGTCTGTATTCATCCCACCATTCCATCTTACATAGTCTATACTACTAACAAACAAAACAAAACAAACTCCGTCTCCTATAGTCCGCAAGCTAACTATACCGACGGAGCGACCGCCGCTTTTCGCCGAAGTTAGTTCTTGGCTACAAATCCTGAGGTCCGGGTTCGATTCTGGGCGCTACCAGATTTTCTGAGATGTAGTGGGTCTGGAGGAGCCTCGTGAGGATAATTGAGGAGCTATTTCAAGCAAATAGAGGCTTCGGTCTAGAAAACTGAGATTAACGGCCGTGGGGATCTGTTGCGCTGACCACGCGACACCCTCTATCCGCTAAAGTTGGCACTCTGGCTTCTAACAGTGTCATTACGAGTAAATAAACCATAAATACATGAGATTGGAAATGGACTGAAATGGCTTGGGGTCGTAACAGGTTTTGTGTTAATGGTACTGAACCTTCTGGTTTCCGAGCACCGTGTCATTTTATTCCAGCTCCTGTGTGAGGATTGTTGGCAGCCAGGGCACGCGTTTCCTCCCCGCCACTCCACAACAGCGGGTGGGGCCCCCTCGTAGGGCTGCAGAGGAGAGAGGTAACACTTCGTATATAAAACGAGTCACTCCGCAGAACTGCGCTCATTGAGGACATCAGTAGGTTGCAGTGCGATAGAAAACAACAGAAGAAGAGCGGCTGGAAGCCTCCGCCCCTCCGTCGCCGCCGCCAACAATTTCATATTCCGCGGCCGGACAGAGCGACATCCGTGACCGTCAGCCCACAAGTGAGTACCAGGGTTCAGTGTCAATAATTGATGTTACATACTGTTCGTGGAGTTTGGGGAAGAAAACGCACTTAATCAGATGATTTCTGGGCCGTATTTAAGGGTAAACGAATGGGGCGGGTGGTCGCCCCGGGGCTTCAGCAAAACAGAAATGTAATCCACACATTTCCTTATCTAAAATTATGAAAAGTTTGTATCTTTAGTTATTATAATAAATAATAATAATAACAAAATAAAGTTTCATATTCTAAATTTGTTGTTGGTGATAGCGGCCTCCATATTTTGATTCTCCGGGTCCCCAAAAACTCAAAATCCGGCCCTGGATGATATTAACCGCTGTGGAAATCTTAACGGACACAAAAAAATATATGTTAAAGAGAATCTCTTGCACCGAATATGTAAATCAAACAGATGGATGGTATAATTAAAAATTCGATTGTTTTCTTCCAAATTTAAAATTTGAAATACTATCTTATATTCTGAATAAATCAAGAATGGTAATATACAGTGTTGAAGAGATCGTACTTGTACTTTCAGTTTTAGAGACGTTGTTACGTTTAATTAATTTCACAAATTACAATAAATTTAAATAAAGTAAAGTCCCCTGCATTCACACACATTTACGAGTTCGGTATGATTACATAAGTATTATGAACTTGACTTTAATTTGAAGAGATGTCAGTATGTTTGAAGCAAGGCTTAAGCAGAGTCCTTGCAACGTTCCCTGTATAAGGACTAGTTTTAAGCCCTTAACACCGTTAAAATAGAAATGTGTTTATATTTCTGGGATAATTAAAAATGACAATATTTCTTACGAGGGACTGAAGACTTAAATTAAGTGAGTTCATGATTAAAAAATGGAGAATAAAGACTTTGAAATAAACCCCGAACAAACAAAACAAAACAAACTCCGTGGTTTTAGTCAGCAAGCGAACTATACCGACCGAGCGACCGCCGCTGGTCGGGGAAGTTGGTACCAACTTTAGCGGATAGAGGGTGTCACGTGGTCAGCACAACGAATCCCCACGGCCGAAAATTTAGGATTTCTAGACCGGAGTCGGAGACCTTGAAAAAGCTCCTCAATTATCATCACGAGGCTGAGTGGACCCCGTTCCAGACACACTACTTCTCAGAAAAAATCTAGTCGCGCCGGGAATCGAACCCGGACCTCTAACCACTAGACCACAGAGGCGGTCGAATTAAACCCGAAGAAGAAGTAGAATATAAGAAATGAAAGAATGAAATGTCAGTGTTTTCGAACTGATATTTAATACAAACGAAACGGAAAGCATAACACACAAAGCAGTAGAGACAAAACATATTCTGAAATATACGCAACACATAATATTTTCGGTGCTTTAGGTCTATGATTGCCTCGTGGAAAATACAAAAATCCTCTTTGATTAATTGTCTCAAACACGTAAGACTTGAAGAAAACGTGTGCTGAACATAAATTATATTTAATTTCTTTATATAACTGCTGTTCTAATAACTATTTTGCTACGTGTTGGACGGCTGGGGTTCGATCCCCTGCAGCTGAAAGGATTTTTCTCTATACCACCGCGCCCTGGCCGGCCCTCAGACCCATCCAGCCTCCTAGTCAATGGGTACCACGGGCTCTTCTCGCGGGTATAAAGCTGCATAGGCGTGAAGTTGACAACACTTCTCCATTTAGTGCCGAGGTCAAGACAGGTGAAGCTATAATGCACTCTCCCATAAGTCTTCATGACGCGGTTCTTAATTAATTAATTAATTAAGCATAGGGACAAGCTTACGCTACCTCATAAGAGAGTTAGGTTGGAGGTCTTCATGGAAAGAGACTATTTTTGTTGTCCTGATTTAGTCGCAATTACAATGTGATGACAAATTTAATAAGTTTTATAAAGATCGACGCAATGCGCGTGGTAAGCTAATTTCAAAGATTACTAAGATTCTAAATTCCGATTCGAAGGTCATACAGTTTGTGATTAGAAATTATAGTTCCTAACTAAAACATCCATATGACTTTGCAAAAATTACCTTGTATTATATTTCGCGCAAAGTAAGAACGTCAACTGCAAATAAAAAGAATAAAAATAGCCCCCAACGAAGATTCTAACTACAAACGAATGCGCCAAGTTTGTTACCGTGTGTGTACATTTCCTACGTCTGATAGGGGACGCAGATTTTCAGAACTGAACTGTACCAAACGTGCAGAATTTGACCTTCTCACAGCGTTGGTTATAAAGAGAACTAGCATGAAATCAGGTGGAAAGCAGAGATCTATTTGAAACCTGATCTCATGCTGGTTTTTTTGCTGGACATATTCTTCTAACATGAAGATGGAGGCTATATATTCCTCCGAAACGTCGGTTGACTTTCAACGAACTATACGGCTTTATATCCCAGAAGATAATCCTCTTTGTAGCAAGCATTCCCAAAATGTAATCCGCTTCGTAGCTCATAATGAATTGTCTTCCTGCCAAATTGAGATGTATTTGATATTCATAATTGCAGCTTCTAAGGTTTATCATCATTTGTTACTTAAACACACAGAGAGTGTTTGAGAACAGGGTGTTGAGGAGAATATTTGGACCGAAGAGAGATGAAGTGACAGGAGGTTGGAAAAAACTACATAATGAGGAGCTTCATAACTTGTACTCTTCTCCAAGTATAATTAGAATGATCAAGTCAAGGAGGATGAGATGGACAGGACATGTAGCATGAAAGGGGGAGAAGAAGAATGCATATAGGATATTGGTGGGAAGCCAGAAGGAAAGAGACCACTGGTAAGACCAAGACGTAGGTGGGTGCACAATATTAAAATGGAACGTAGAGAGATAGAATGGGATGGTATTGATTGGATTGATCTGGTTCAGGATAGGGACCAGTGGAGGGCTCTTGTGAACACGGTAATGAACCTACGAGTTCCATAAAATGATGGTGAGTTCTTGAGTAGCTGCACAGTTGGCCGCTTCTCAAGAAGGGCTCAGCTCCATGAGTGAGTGTCAATTAAACGCACGGCATTATAAGGAAATAGTTACGGAAGTATCAGAGACCTTTTTTATATTTATCTACAAATATATGAATATCCGTTTCTATATACATTTAATACGTACAATGTTCCCTTAGAATGTATATGAATACAATCGGGCGTCAATATTTCTTTGCTAAGTGCGTGATATTTCATTCTGTTTACGCTTACTGCCTTTATTAAAAAAGCTCCAGGCTAATGTAAGTTTCATTTCCAGATTTTGGTTAAAAATAAATAAATTCAGAAGAGTGATCCGCCTCTTATAATGTCCCCTTAGGAAAATATAGTGTGTAGGTGTTGGTAACTCTGTACCCAAGTATAACCGTGGGAGATTATAGGCAGCATATAAGTAAAGGTCTCCGCCAATTATATCTAAGTAAAGAAGCTATAAATTTCAGGCTTCGGCTGCTTTACCCCCGAGGGAGGAGTCCCCTGTACCTACTGGAATGGAAACTGGGAGTCCCCTAAAACTTAACCGGATGTAATGACAAAGGGAGAATTTCCAGGAACTTGGGAATTAAACTCGTTCACCCACATGAAATTCAGACTCATCTCTTTTAGAAGTAAAAAGAATGGCCAAAATATCTTGCTATCCCTAGTAAAAAAAATATGAGATTTTTTCACAGCAGCTTAACGAAATCACTTATGGACTCAAACAGGCAGGAAGACTTTGTTTTAAGCTTGTCACCCTTCAGATTCTTGGGATATTGCCCCATATAATATGGCGGAGAATTATTCTGTATTATGAGAATGAAGGATTACAAATGGACTCACTGGACAACTAACATATCGCAATATGTTGACGAGTATTTTGCGAATAATTACATTTTCACTATTATTTACAAAAAAAAAACAAACAAAAAACAAAAACTCCGTGGTTCTAGTCAGCAAGCGAACTATACCGACCGAGCGACTGCCTCTTGTCGGCGAAGTTAATGCCAACTTTAGCGGATAGAGGGTGTCGCGTGGTCAGAGCAACGAATCCCGACGGCCGTTAATTTCGGTTTTCTAGACCGGAGCCGCTATTTCCTTGAAATAGCTCCTCAGTTATCCTCATGAGGCTGAGTGAACCCCGTTCCAGTCCCACCACTTTTCAAAAAATCTGGTATCAACGGGAATCGAACCCGGGACCTCTGGATATGTAGCCAGGAACTCTGACCACTAAACCACAGACGCGGTCCACTATTATTTACAGAGTTTCAATTATACTATAAAAGAAAATCTATAACTTATTTTTACTAGTGATAAGAAACTTTGTGGCCATTCTGCAGGATACGTTGAATTTTATCTCCAGACCCCATATACTCGTTAACCACGTATAGTTACAAATAGGGTCAAATCCATCTACTAATTTGAATTGTTTCATTTTGGTCCGTTACACTATCAATCACCAATTATCAATAGAACCTCCGTCGAGTGTAACAATATATATTCTTGTCACCATTTTTTCACATTTGCCTTACATGTTTCGGCTCACCAAGAGCCATCATCAGAGGCACCCACAACAAAAACATGGAAAAACTTGCACTGCTCAACAATCACAATATACAGTTTTTTGTGGAAGATGTTACACGTATCGGAGCGTAAAACACAACAACATCCAGTATCCCGAGTGCAGGTATCCCACTTGCATTTAAAAAATCACCCACAAAGCAAGTCGTTAATGTTAAAGTTAAAGTTAAAACCGTCCAAGTAAAATATTCAGGTTCCTATCCACTAAGAGGAACCTGAATATTTTACTTGGACGGTTTTAACTTTAACTTTAACATTAACGACTTGCTTTGTGGGTGATTTTTTAAATGCAAGTGGGATACCTGCACTCGGGATACTGGATGTTGTTGTGTTTTACGCTCCGATACGTGTAACATCTTCCACAAAAAACTGTATATTGTGATTGTTGAGCAGTGCAAGTGTTTCCATGTTTTTGTTGTGGGTGCCTCTGATGATGGCTCTTGGTGAGCCGAAACATGTAAGGCAAATGTGAAAA